GCCATCTATTACCTGAGCAGGACTATGATGGGAGCCGAACACCGGTACAATCCGGTCGAAAAGGAATGTCTTGCCTTGGTATTCGCAATTCAAAAGATGCGACATTACCTAGTTGGACAAACAATTCAGGTCATCTCTAAGGTGAATCCCTTGAGAGTTTTGATGATGAAACCATCATCTTTAAATTGCCGACTCGCAAAGTGGGTCATTCTCTTGTCATAATACGACATGCAGTTCATGCCTCAAAAGGCGGTCAAGGGTCAAGCACTGGCAGATTTCTTAGCCGATTATCCGGTGTTGGGGACGTCTAAGTTGTATGAAGAACTACCCGATGAAGTCGCCGAAGCTTGCGCTACTCAAGAAGCTACGCAAGTGTGGAAGTTATTCTTCGACGGTGCGTCCAGAGCAAATCCTCATGGAGCAATCACCGCGGGAGTAGGAGTAGTATTAATCTCTCCGAACGGCCACATAATCCCAAGGGGATTCTCCTTAATCGAACCTTGCACCAACAACGTAGCCGAGTATAATGCTCTGCTATTAGGAATGCAATTTGCTGAAGAACTTAATGTTCAGCACCTCGAGGCTTACGGTGATTCTCAACTCATCGTTAATCAAGTCCAAGGAGAATACGAAGTACGGCATGAAGATCTGATCCCGTATTACTTCGCAGTACTAGAGCAAGCTCAAAAGTTCGAAGGTTTCTTCATCGAATATATACCACGAGCTCAGAATGCTTATGCAGATGATTTAGCCTCCTTGGCAACCTCATTAGCGTTGCCACCAAAGACTGAAACAATGATTCCAGTCGCGGGACGGAAACTATACTTTTCTAAAATTCCTACATAAGAAAACTCAGACGAGACACCGTCAGGAGAAGTCTGTACAACTTCTATGGAGTTTGAATCCAGGGATTGGCGATTCCCGTACATCGACTATGCCATATATGGAATTCTACCAGAAGATCCTAAGAAAGTGGCCTCTATCAAACGAAAGGCCCTCCGATTCTATTACGACACAGTCTCTCGAGTCCTGTATCGTAAATCGCATGATGGAATTTTGCTTCGATGCCTCTCTCGGAAGGAAGCAAAAGAGGCCCTCAAGGAAGCTCACGGCGAAATGTGTAGAGCTCATCAGCCTGGAGCTAAATTAGGAGATCGCCTCCGACACATCGGCTATTATTGGCGGAAGATGTTTTCAGACGCGGTTGACTATGCTAAACGTTGTCACGCGTGCCAAATTCATGGGGATTTCATCCACCAAGCACCAGGAAACTTACACCCCACATCGGCGACTTGGCCATTCGAAATGTGGGGTATGGATATTGTCGGACCGATTTCCCCTCCGACATCCAAGGGACACCGGTTCATTCTAGCCATAACCGACTATTTCTCCAAATGGGCGAAGGCTATCCCGTTGAAAGAAGTTAAGACTTCAAACGTAATCAAGTTCATTAAGCATCACGTTGTCTATCGTTTTGGAGTCCCGAGGCGAATAGTTCACGACAATGGGACACAATTCGTCAGCCTTGGGTTTCAAAGATTCTGTGACAAATTTAGAATCTAAAGTGTTGCATCTACGGCATATTATCCACCAGCAAATGGTCTTGCAGAAGCTTTTAACAAAACCATAG